ATCGCAACAAGGTCGTATGGTACGAGATCAGCCTCTGGCCTCTTGAGTTTTTTTTTGGCAATCACACGAGTCAATATCAAGTCAATTGAGTCAATTTGACTAACGGCTGGTTTTTTAGCCGTTACCCGAAAGTTGTTTTCTGCAGTGGAGCCCCTCTAACACCTCCTATGAGTTTAGGATGGGCAAAGTATTCTCTAGCGCTTTGAAAAGGTTTTAGGTCCGTAGGTGTCTTTTGAAATTTTTGCTTTGTCCCCAGAATTCCAAATTCCACCCAATTTTTGGGGGGGTATTTTGTGGATCGGGGTCTTATTATTGGTTTTCGTGAGGTATGGAGGCAGGAGGATTGGAGAGGTGCACGGTGGGCCCACCCCAGGTCTTGTCAGAGGTGCACCGGAGGGTGTGCAGGGGGCGCATAAGTTGCACCGCCATACAAAAAAAGAAATCCTGACATATTCTTTTTTTTTTAAGGCAAGAGAATCAAAGATCATCACACGAAACGATTCAAACGAAACGATTCAAAGGACTTTGAAACGATTCAAAGGAATCAAAACGATTCAAATGCAAAACAAAACCCACAGTAGTCGAAATCAGGAAAAAACGGGATTTAGTTAGGTACTCAGGTAGTGTCAAAATGCATCCAATTGCATTTTTCTGGAGTCTGACGAGTCGCATTCAAGTCCCATGCGCGTCGTACTGCGCGCTAGATTGCATCATTTTTATTTTTAAAAAATCAACCTTTTGAAATCCGATGAACATTATTATTATCGCTGTGGCATTTTATTGGTATTTTGTGGTGTCCAATACGATGGAACCAAACATCGTTGGGCAACTGAAACGCGAGAATACCTTCAATAATGCGATGGTCAAAGAAGGACCAGGATGATGATACCACTGAGCCATTCAACGTAGCTGGAAGTGCTGGTAAGAAGAACAGCACGTTTAGCATTAACATCGCAAGCTTGGATCATCTGAAAATGCGGTACATCGCTGGTAACTACATTTCTCCCATTTCTGTCGAAGCCAACCGGCGGCTTTATTGGAACGCACCAGGACGCGATTCGATCGTCGCCCGATCCTCTCTACTATTGGTCATCTTGCACAACCACCAATGGACCGAGAGTCTTTTTGCTGCCTTGTTTCGTCCACTTGGATTTAGAGATCTAGATCATGCGGCAACAATGAGCGCACATTAGACGCATTGCCTCTGGCGAATGACACCTCAGCAGATGTCTTCGTGTCCATTCAAGTGGCACATGATGACGACGACACCATCATGATAAAGCAAGTACTGGTACCGACTTCGTTGTGTCATTTATTTATTGTTTGCTTCTTTTTCGCCTCCAGCATGAAAGGTGTAGCACGAATTAGCATTCAATAATAACGAACTAATTGGATTTATCTACAAGTCTGGGAAGAGTATAAAGCCTTCATTTTCTGTCTGTCATTGATATCATCTCTCTCGCTAAATATTTTTTTCCCAGGAGCTCGGAACTATGCCACGGGCAACCATATTGTAGACTTCAAGCCAACTTGGTTCGATGGACATGTCTTTGTTGATGCGAATGTTCACGCCATCCAGAATCAATTCAGTTTGCAAAATGGGCAAAGAATTATTCTTTGGCTTGATGTTGTACTTGCCTCGCTTCTTCTTAGTGGTTTTTGCAGTCAGTGTTGCCTTTTCCTTTTCAAATTCTGGAAGCTGATAGACTTGAAGGCGGCTTGTGAACACATCATTTCGAAGCTTCGTATTTGGCATGAAACTCAAAATTGAAAGCAATTTCTGGTGCTCTTGATGACGACTCTCCATCGATTCTTCTGACAATATTCCATACATCCAGTTCCGAGTGACGAACTGAGGAATGTGCCATGCCACATCATGCAGTTTTGGAAACACACCCTGTTTGGGGAAATATTTCAGCCATTTGAAGAACATCATAAAACAATTCCGTTTCAGCTCATCAATCTTATCTTCGTCCCATTTTTGTTGCGACTTGAGGAGCGTGTTCATCGTGAACATAGGCGTGGTTATCTCTTGTGATTCCCCCATTGCTTGCGCAACCATCTGATGCTTTTCCTCACCCGGTCTGTATCCACCGCCACCAACCATTTTGGTGATCTCGGAAAATTTCTCGAGCATCAACAATCCGTGAGCATGTGACAAATCCATTCCTCCAAATTGTGGATTGAATTTAGGACCCGCTAATTCAATAGCTTTGCGAAAGGCCCACTGAGCTGGACCTTTGGGTTTCTTTGTACTGAGGTATCTTTCAATCAGTTTCGGGAGGACGTCGGCACCCATGTGTAGACGAAGATTCTCGCCGTACTCACCGTCAAGGGGTTCTTTCTCAGAAAGCAAAATAGCAAGTTCTGCTCGCACGTTCTGCACGCAAGCATCCGACGTTGATGCAAATCTTCTGTGTGGATCTTCCGCTCGTTCAATGATGATTTTTGCGCTGTTGATGCCTGATTGTAAATTGTCGATCTTCTTTTTCAATGCTTTGAGGCGTCTTTTGGTGTTGGCTTTCTCATGCTTACACTGCACCTTTACGCCGTCCATTTTTTCCAGCCATGTCGTCGTTCCCGCACTTTTGAGTGCATCGATATGTCCCAATCTCATATCCGTGTTATTCTTAATGTGGTTCTCCAATCCTGCGCCATTATGCAGGCCTCCAAAAGTTTGTTTCGAGGGATGGATATCTAGAAGTGGCTCATTGACTACACATCCATGTCTTTCTCGAATACCTCGCAACTGATCTTCGGAGTATGTGTTGTTTCCATTGTTGGTATCATCTTGAAGCTTCTGAAACATGATTGGGTTTGAATGTTCTCGGCAGCGCAAAGGACAGTATTTCCACCCGGCTTCAACTTTGGCTGCTAGAAGCCCGTTCTCAATACCATTGTTTTGGGCATATTCCACCATCCAGTCTGGAAAGTTCGTCTTGTAGGTGCTTTGTGATTGGATACAGCAGATACAATTTGACCTTGCATTCGCGCTGTCCATCATGCCCATAGTCGCCCAGGAATCCTTCTTGTCGCAGCTAGCAAATCCAACCACCTGTTTGAAGCCACAATCGATCAGTTCATCGTCCATTGAATCCCGCCGGTGAATCGGCTTCTCAAAAAATCCGGCAACCAACAGCCTGCATTGGCCGTTACCGTCGACATCAGGATTGCTGTTCAAAAAGATGCGGTACCCATAGTACTTATTGTCGTCATTGTAAACGAGCTGTAGCCAAAGCCTCTTGCTTCCGTTTTTCCATTCTTCATCCAGCTTCAATCCGATACACTTCATCCCAAGTAATGACTCTTCTGCTTGTCCAAGAGAATTTTCTTCGTCCTCGTCAGCTCTTGTTGCATCATCATGCAAGTCATTGTAATCGTCCAATTTATCTTTCTCTTCTTCGTCAGTCGTTCCACCATTCTGATTTGACAAATTTTCTTCTTCGTCGTCATCACTTCTGCTTGTTCCATCATTCAAGCAAAAATCCAATGCTTCATCAGTTTTTCCATCATGCTCGTCGTCGTGAAAAGTTGAGACAGTCGAAATTGATTGCGCTTCGTCGCTACTGTTGTCATCCTCCTTTTCACCAATAGATGATGCGTCATCTTCTGCTTCATCATCATCGGAGAATCGAGTAGCATTGTCGCAAAAAGTTGAGACAGTTGAACTTGATTTCTCGTCGTCGTCATTATCGGTCTCATCCTTCGCACCAACAGATGATATATGTACCGGTAAAGCTGGTTCATTCTCATTCTCAAAATTTTTAAAATTTTCAAAATCTTGAGGTGACGTCACCACCTTGAAGTCTGCTGTGGAGCAAAATCTTGCTTTGCAACGTTCGACCTTCACTTTCATTCGGGGAAGCATCCTCTCATCAGTTGCACTTTGACGATGATCTGCAAACAAATTTATTGCAATGCACTGGCTTTGGACAACGTGTCCTTTGTCTTTGTCAATGGAATTGACCGTAAGTGCAAAACATTTGTTGTCCAAAAGCAATTGCAGAAACCGAGAACCTTTCTTCAAAAATGTCTTCTTCATATTCTCATGGCACTCAGCTGCATGCTCGTACATCGCCAGGGTCGTGACAAATGCACTGCAATTCCCCTTTATTCGGTTCAAGATTCGAATTAGCATCGATGTTGCAATTTCATCTTTGTCAGCGCCGAACACAACAGCGATTATGTCCTCCATCAACGAAAAGTCGCCTGAATGCAAGAAATTGCCAGACAGAAATGCTGCCTCCACCTGCCGCTCCAGAGCCCGGAGTGGCGTTGCTAGGTGCCAAGAGAGTTGGGGCCTCACTTCTTTGTTGCCATTCATCTCAAGGGGTATCATCTCAGCCTCAATGCGCATTCTCCACTTCCACCCAAGCTTTGACAGAAACACCTTCAGTTGAGGCGGGAATCTTGTATTTCCAAGGAGAAGACGTTCCAATCGATCAAGCATAATCACCTTGTTGGCACTGCCCACAATACAAAGTATTAAAGCAATGTGCATTTCGTTCCACTTGAAGTCTTCCTCGTGGAAAAGTATAAGGTCTTTGAACTTTTTGAATGAAAGCTTCAGAAATGCTTCTTGTTGAGCAAGATCTGGACCCACCAATTGAGCAATAATTTCCTTCATCAGATTTGCCTTTTTCTTCTTGGCATTTTGTGTCAGAGCAGTGAAGTCTACTTTTGGCTGAGGAAGCAAGGCGTAATACTTTTCAATCATCTGATTCCTTGGTGATCTGAAGCTCACTTTTGAGATGTATTGTGATGTCGTTGATTCCTCCGAGACCGTCGTCCTCACCCTTGATTCCTCCAAGGTGCGATTGGCAATACAATGGAAGAGTCGATTCATTTCATAACTCCTATCACTCTTGTCCATTGCGAGTCTCTTGTACAAGATTTCCATAACGAGTTCGTCTTCCTGGTGCATGGTTTCTTCTGACGAATTATCCACTTTGTAGAGAGGTTCGTCTGCCAGTCTAGGTATATTGGTTTTGATCCACGAGTCGCCGCTGTCAGAGTCGATGACTGGGATAAGATTTGGGATTGCTTTCGGGAGAGTGTCGTCTATCTTGGCTTCAATCAACAATTCGCCGCTTCCTTTTGCAGAGTCGTCGATTAGCTCGATATTTGCGATGGCTTCTAGAAGGTTCTTGGGGTTGACAGCTCTCAGAAGGATGTCAGGATGGAGTACTTTGTGCTGGCTGCGTGAGCAGCCTGCCACTATTTCAAGGAAGAAGTCTCTATTTATCTCGGGTAGTCAATGCAGCGATTGCAAATAGGAACATCTTCATATCTATATCCCACGCAGCCGGCTTTGGTTTTTGTCCAAAGACCAAGCTGAAAAACGAGTGCAAGGGGTCAGATTCCGTCTTGCTTTTTGGCTTCCAATTCGCTGACAATGTACACTTTTCGATGAAGGTGCGCATAGGTTCGGTTGTTTCAATGCCCCTGCTCTCCGGTGTGTGATGGAATAGGAAGTCTTCGATTGCTTGAGTACAAGCATCCTTCATTTCCTTGCAAGAGCAATCGTGGCAAAAAGTTGTTGCCAGAAGGTCCCATGGATCTACAGCGTATTTGTATGGCAGACCACACAACAAAAAACCAAGTGCACAAAGGAAGAGGCGTATGCAAAGTGGGTAGTCTCCAATCTCCTTGATATGTACTAGATCCTTTAGATTGGGGAATGTGCGACAAATCATCTCTTTTAAGGACTGCTCTTTGTATTGGTAGAGTAAGTGAGACACGAAAGGATGAGCTGTTTTTGTCCTTCCGTTTGGGCTCCATCTCAATGAATCCAAGATTGCTTTAGCAAAGTTTGTATGATCATCAGTGGGCTTTTTGAAGCTAGTGCTGGATAAGATTGTATCTTCACTCGGCGTCACTTGGGGTGATGGAGCTCCTTTGTGTTCCGTATTGCAAAATCTTGTGTCGACATGCGGTATTTTCCCAGCATCTGGTGTCACCATGACTGTTCCGCCCTCAGCACCATCATATGCTATGCAGTCAACTTCAATAGTTGACATAATGAATTCGTTTCGTTTGAGCTATAAAATACTAATGGGCAAGTCTACAGCTTGATTTAAGCTTCCCATCTCATCAATTTGCAATACAAAGTTGCTTTCATTTTCCGGGTTCGAAGTTTGGTTTAAAAAAATTCGAGATTTCGCGGGAACCGAAGATACCGTTATTTGAACCAAGTGTTTGATTCATCCGACTGTGAATTACAATTTTTATTTGAGTTTTAGAAAATGCAATTGAATGCATTTTGACACTATATAAGTACCCAACCAAATCCCGGCTCAAACCACTGTGAACCGTTCAAATGATTTTGAAACGATTCAAAGGAATCGAAACGATTCATTGCGACGGACGAAATGATTCAAAACGACTTTTTTGCTTCAGTAATGCCCCAGCTCAGGGGTGCGGGGAAAGCTGTTCATTAGTCAAAGAAGTCGAGATTATCAATCGACAAAACGGTCGATTGACGGGCAAGTTACGGAGGGTCCAGGCCCAAGGTATTGGGACTGTAGAAGCTCCTTCGGTTGGGTACAGAACTAGACCTTAGTCAAAAGGTCCATGTAAGCACTTTGAAGTGCATCTCTATAGACATCCACAATTTTCTCTGTGACTCTTCTGTAAAGGTTGGGTTACTATTCGATACTTTCCGTCAACAAAAAGGAACGATTGAAGATCCCAACATCACCTTACAAATGGTCGAAACTTATATGCAAGCTACCAAGATCTTGTCCGACAATGTCCAAATCTCAAAACAGCATGCTCGTGAAAAGCTTCAACGCACTGGTGGTTACACACAGCATTCTCGTTGAGGACGTGGACGTGGACGCGGAAGTTACGGTAATCGTCGAACCACTTCCAATGCACCCTATCCAAGCTATCAGAATCAAGGAACTCAGAATCAAGGATATCGCTATCCTCCAAGATCTCAAGGCAACTATCAAGGACGATCTTCTGGAGCCAGTTCTCAAACCCAAGGACGCTTTGGGCAACAAAACCATCAAACAAATCGACCTCCAAACAACCGATCTCCAGGGAATTTTCAAAACCGAAACCCTCAAAACCATCATTATGCTGAATTGCATTACAATCAAGACGGAAGTCAAGCCGAAGGCTCAGTTCCTGCTGGAACGTATTACAACGATCAGGAAGTGGAATGCTTCGTTCCGGTTGGAACTGTCCCCGAAGTGGGCCAAGGCGGAATGCCTTCTGCCCAAGAGCAGCATGATCAATATTTTGTGCAAGGCCAATTCGTCCAACCTCGTGAAGACTCATATCCTCCAAATGACTTGTATCCTCCAACGGATGATCAAGGCTATTATCCATACGATGATGCCTCTGAACATTACCATTACTACGATGAAGCTCATTGACCTTCACTCCAAAACAATACTCGTTCACAATCTAACCGTCTAATCAATCCTTTCCTTGAACCAAATCTTTCAATCTTTTGCTACCGCATTGACCCCTGATCAAGGTCCGATGACGCAAGAAGAAAAACACTTTCTTTTTAATGACTCTTTCATTCGTGTCCCAACTCCAAAACAAACTTTGGAATCTACAGGTGAATCGATGAACAAAAAGAAACTAACTCCTATTTCTTTGATGCAATGGGGATTGATTGGAGGAAAACAGTCTGCGAAACCTCTCCGAGTATTGTTTGATTCAGGTGGTGAAAACACAATGATTCATGCACGATGCATTCCACAAGGCACGACGGTAAAAATTGATCCTAATGTTAAACCTTGTGCAACTGTATCTGGAAACTTCAATGCTAACAAATCCATTGAACTTCGAGACGGGCTCTTTCCAGAGTTTGATTGACATCGGCGAATCTACGGTAAAACAGTGACAGTTTTTGATGCACCGAATTGTCCACATGATATTATCCTTGGTCGCGACTTTCTCAATGAACTTGGAATCGTAATCGATTTTCAAAACCATCAAGTCAAATGGATTGACAAAATCATTTCCATGAAGTACAAGACCCACTTTCAAAATCACACCAACTGGACTATTGCACTGGATCGCGGCTACTTGGATATTTTGGATGATGATGACATTGCAGATGATGCTTTCATCCTCTATGCAAAGTATGAAGCAACAACTGGAGCTGAAGTTGCTTCCAAGCAAGTCCACTTGACCAAACAACAACAAGATCAATTGGCAACTGCATGGGCCTCTCCTACATTCAATATTCCAAAAAAGGATTGAAGAGTACGATGGATCAGTGATCTTCGTGAGCTCAACAAAGTTCTCAAACGTAAAGTGTATCCTTTGCCATTGATTGATGAAGTTGTCTCTCGTCGTGCTGGCTACAAATTCTTTACCAAACTCGATCTCACAATGATGTATTATTCTTTTGAGCTTTATGATGAAAGCAAGGAATTGTGCACGATCGTCACCACATATGGAAAATATCAGTACCAACGAATGGCGATGGGATTGAAACCAGCTCCTGATGTTGCTCAATACTACATTGAGAAGACATTGCATGGTTTGAAAGAACAAGGTGTTGAAGTCTACATCGACGATGTTGGACTCTTTTCTAACTCTTATAAAGAACACATGGAATTGATCAAGACTGTTGTCGAACGACTTCAAGAGGCAGGTTTCAATATTAATCCTTTGAAATGTGAATGATGTGTTCAAGAAACCGATTTCTTGGGCCATTGGTTGACCCCTGAAGGTGTCAAACCTTGGAAGAAAAAGGTTGATGCCATCCTCAAAATGAATGCACCTCGCAACATTACTGAACTACGAGCCTTCTTGGGTGCTGTGACCTACTATCGTCACATGTGGCCCCAACGTTCTCACCTTTTACAACCGTTGACAGCGACGATGACGATCATGTCTGTGACAGTTCAGGCAAAGAATGGGATGATGACTATCGACATAATACATATAAAAATCTAGCCACCTAACTACAACCAATTTGACTCCTAGTTTCGATTTGAATTCAAGTTATCACTCTTCTCTCGACTTGGTTCCTACTATATTATCGTGACTACTATCATGTAATTTGCAAGAGATACGACTGGCATAGAATGGTGAAAAGCTCAAGGTTTCTTCTTGTCTTGGCGCAGTGAAAATTTGCAAATGCTTCCGCACCCATACTCTTCTGCAACTGCCCTGTTGGCCCCGCTTCACAGCTTGCCTTTCACCTCGAACTACGGTCCAAAACATAAAGTCATTTGCGACGTTCATTAACGTACCGCACTTACCTGTGAATGTAGATTTGACATGGTAATATTTGACTCCGGATTCCTTCTGTAGTCAACTTGGTTCCCTCCTTGGGAAACTCAATGCGCATTTCGCGAAATCTGCGAAGATCAGCGACGGCCCGGGTACTGAAAGCGTCCTGGCAAAAGCTCTGAAGGATTATCAACACACAATTTAACCGTTTTCTGATCAGAGGGCACATGTGATATATATGTGCACAGGGAGTATTTGAAAACGACGTATTTTTTGTACTAAGGCCACGGCAATCCGTGAACCAACGGTATTCATTCACGGATGATGTAAGCGACACTGGAGTAATTGAAAATCAAATACTACCTCTAAAGTAACCCGGAAACTAAGGTATATCAGCCAATCAAAACTAAGGTGTCGCTTACAAACTAAGCAAATGTGGAGGGAAAACCTTAAGCCAATGACAATCTTTTTCTTTTCCAACAATTAAGAGCACTAAAAACCAAAGAACAA